CATCCCCTCTTCCTCCCTCGATGCTGGCATTAATGGTAACACTCAGACCACCCCATAGGTCTGACGATTACAGCCAACACCAAAATCGGGCTTGGTCATCCCCAGGTGGAGGTGACCCGATGCGGCAGGTTCACGTCGAGATGACGTCGGCGTTGAGTTCTGTCACCGCGTGGATCGCTCAGCTTGCACGATCGCGACTTTCCGATAACGCGGATCAATCGGTCTCGCCCGATCCTATGGCGGCGTGCAACCTTGAACGCCCGCGCTGGGGTCGCCGCCACGACAACGCGGCGCGAGCTGCCGTGTTTAGAGGAAGAGATGACGACATAAACATACACTTTCGGAGGTCCGCGCGGAGGGCTTGGATCGGCGCAAGGCCCCGCTCCCTGGCGCGCGGAGCGCGCCAGGCGCGGCGCCAGAGGCGCCGCTAAGGAGGCCCCAGCGCCGACCAAGACCTGCGAAAGTTTATGTTTAGGCCGTGTGTTTTCCTCGCTTCTTCGAGTATTGGCGCTGGTTCCGACTTGTAGACCTCCAACGAGATCGGATGTTCGGGGCTGCCTTTCAGCCATCACGAACAGTGAGGCCTACGGCGCACGTCAGCGGATGACCTTGACTCGACGAGCCGACGCGCTGTGCACACAAGGGTAGTTATTATTGCCATCATGTACCCCACATCCTCCTGCAGAGGGCCAAACTTAGGGGCAACGATAGGGGGGACTGGCAAAGGGGTGGGATGTATCGACCTGGGACCGACGATACATCGCCGATAGCTCGACGAGAGGCCCCCGATAGTGAATCCGCACCTTCCTGGGCAGGTTGGGGCTATTAGACCCCTGCCGTCGATCAATGGGCGATTGGGGGTCGATGTATCCCCCCCCTGTGTCTATCCCCTCTATGGTTGCCCCTGACAAACAACGACCTGAGGATAGACTTTCGGAGGTCCGCGCGGACCTCCGAGTTCGCCGAAAATCGCGGCTGCGAGCTTGCCTGAACAAACGCCAAGTATGCTGTACGTTCTGATCTGCAGGCGTTGGCGTGCAGCCAACAGGAGCCAGCTGTAGGTTCTTGGATAGCAGAGAGGGGGGATGGAGGCGTGAGGGGTGAGATCCGAAGGGGGCACGAGAAGAGAGGAGGATGAAGAACGCAGGGGGCAGGGCGAAGGAGGAGGAGGGGATCCGTCCACGAGGCTGCGCCGCCTGCCGCTGGAACCCACCCACCTTCACGCGGCGAAACCTATCCGCCTCCACGGGGGGGAAGCTGACCTGCGGCGGACCACCCACCCACCCACCCACCTCCGGGCAGGCTCACCCAGTCCTACACACACAGACTACGCACACGCACACGCACACACACACACACACACACACAAACACACACACACACACACACACACACACGCACGCACGCACGCGCGCGCGCACGCACGCACGCACGCACGCACGCACGCACGCACGCACGCACACACAACACACAACCACACACCACACACACACACACACACACACACGCACGCACGCACGCACACACACACACACACACACACACACACACACACACACACACACACACACACGCACAAGCACGCACGCACACACGCACGCATGCTCGCACGCACGCACGAACTCTCTCTCTCTCTCTCACATAACACACGCTCTTGCGTCGGCGGCTAGCGAATTAAGCCGCAGTGCGCGAGGGAAGGAGAAGGAACGCCCAGCGACGGCGGGAGGGAGGAAGCCGAGCCCGCTCACAGCGGGGCCAGGAGGCGGCGGGGGGCGGCGCTGGGGGGGGGCCCAGCGGCGGCGAGGCGGCAGCTGGGGGGGTAGGTCCGCCAGGCCGCAACCAGAGGCAGGCGCCTGGGAGGGAGCAGTGCCCAGCGCAGGCTGCAGACGAAGGTGTACGCAAGTAAGCAGAGGAGCCGAGGGTGCCGAGGTCACAAGTGACCTGCGAGGCAACCCAGGAGCGGCCAGTGCGGGGCCACCTCAAGGGGAGGGGTCGGCAGGGGCACGAGGTGGCGTCCGGGAGGGAACCAGTGCCAAGCCCAAGCTGGAGACGAAGGTGCGCGCGAAAGCAGAGGCCAAAGGTACCGAGGTCATGGGTGACCTGCGAGGCAACCCAGGGGCGGCCAGTGCAAGGCGCACACACACACACACACACACACACAAACACACACACACACACAAACACACACACACACACAAACACACACACACACACTTTTGTTGGCGTCGCGGCCCTGCGCGCAACGACAGGGCGTTGAAGGTCGGAAAACAGCAAATCGCGCAAGCGTGTCTAAGCCCGCCCGAACATTCAAAGATCACCCAGGGCCACACACACACAGATTTTTGGCGTTGCGGCCATGCGCGCGGCGGCGCGGCGTAGGCAGTCCAGCGGGAGAACGCGCGCGGCCAGGCTAGATCACGCGGGAACCAGGGATCCACCCATAAGTGATCGACCAGGTCACCCGCAGTGGGCCGCGATGGGAGAGGGGGAGGTGGAGAGGGCAAGCTAGGTGCGCTAGCGTCACATCTGACGTCCTACCCCTCGCTCCCATCCCTTACCATGGCGTAGATATCCGATCTACTCGCACAGTCGGATGTCGAGCAGGGCAATGATCCCAAGGGGGTACGCGATCGATGGATGGAAAAGCATGGCGTAGAAGAGCACGGCAGAGCAGAGCATGTCATAACATGGCGTGGCATTGCGTAGTGAAGCATTGCCTCACAAAGCATAGCAACGCAAAGCATGGCATCGAACAACGGTACACAACACAGCAGTGCATTGCATGCCTTGGCATGGCACAGGGTGACTTGGAGGGTAAGTGGCCCGTCTACAAAAGGACAGGGCTTGTTCGGAATGCGGGCTCCATGTCCTCCGCAACTGTGCCTGCCCGATGTGGGCG